GGTCTCTCTCGACGGCACACCCGTCGAACCACACGCACTCTCCAAGGTCTTTGGTGGGGAATGCCTTGTTGAGGGAATCAAGCAACTCCTTGCAATCATCATCAGACCCAGCCACCAAGATGTCATCCACCTAAATCACGATAATCATCACCACGACATCGTCTTTCATCTTGCGGAAGACGCACGGGTCAGCCTTGCACTGCTCGAACCCGTTTTCTACAAGAGTATCGGCAGCGTGGTACCCCCACTGCCTGCCGCTCTGCTTCAAGCCGTAAATGGCACGCTCAGCCTTCACAACTTTGTGGGATTTTTCCCCGCACCCCGCGGGGAGCCTCAGAAACACATCCTCGTCCAACTTAGCGTGTGTAAACGCCTGCTTGACATCCCAGTGGTTGAGTTTCAGCGATTTCTCGTTGGCTACCGCAAGCATCAGTTTAATGGATGCGGATGATGGGCAAGGCGAGGATGAGTGGAAGTAGTCCACGTTCGGGATTTTCGAAAACCCCCTAGCGACCAGACGCGCTTTGAACTTCTCAATTTTTCCGTCCTTGTTTGTCTTCCAAGTGAAGCGCCACTTCGAGCTCACGGGTCTACGCCCCTCTGGCGTACCGTCTACGAATGAAAACGTTCCCGTGCCCAAGTGCCCATCAAACTCTTCCCTCATGGCCTGTTCCCATCCCTCTCTGTACACAGACTTGTTAACGCCGGCTACGGTCATGGGGGGGGATTCGACGTCACTCGGACGCTTGCCTCTGGGGGATTCTGTACTCAGTTTGGTCGACGCCAGGGCCCTCACGAAGGCGTCTGGAGAGTTGAGCACGAGGTCCTCCGCTCCCAGCAGGAAGTCCTCTGCCTCTTGGCGCGCGATGTTGGCCTCCTCCGCGCGCTCGCACAGCAGCGCTTGCACCGCCCTCGCCTCTAGCTCTTCCACCACGTCGACCACACACGCGATCATCCAGTGGGTGTGCTCCGTCGTGCTGTTGATGGGCAGGATGGGCAGCCCCGCCTCCGACGCATGGCGGGCGAGCAGGCCTTCGGCACTCGTTGGCGACGGCGACGACTCGTACCTCATGTTCCGGCGAGGGTTCTCCCTGAGTCGGCGGCTGGTGAGCTCCGCCGGCTCGCCAAAGCGGGCGAGCTTCCGTCCCTCGGGCCCGCGGAGCGCCGGGATGTCCGTGTCGCTGCCGCTGTCGCTGTCGCTGCCGCTGTCACTGTCGCTGTCGCTGCCGCTGTCACTGCCACTACCGCTGCTGCTGCTGTTGCTGCTGCTGCTGCTGCTGCTGCTGCTGCTGCTGCCGCCACCGCGGCTGCTGCTGCTGCGACGGTCGTCCTCGCCGCCGCCCACATCGGCCATCCCGGTCGACGTGGTAGATGGGGCGACGCTCGCGCCCTCCCTGCTCGAGGGGGCGCCATCGCCAGCGTCGCCCGCACCCGACTCCTG